CTGCACTTGATGACACTATTTTTCGTATTAAGGAGCAGCAAAAGCTTACGGATGAGCTACTACGCGGCCAAGAGCAACAATTAGCTGTTGTTAGAAATGTTACAGGTAATTAGGTAGCTAATTCAATTTATTGTTTACTTTACGCTCTTAATATAGTTACTCCACTTTATCAACAGAAAATGATTATAAACTCACTGATGAAACAAAAACTAGTGAAGGATGACATATGGTAATACTAATATTTATAGTGTGGGAATGGGCTCTCTTTTTTATAAGACTAACTTCTTCTAAATTAATTTCCTTATTTGTTTTCCAGGTGCCTTGTTAGTAGCCACTGGTTCGAGAAGTGGACCAAGTTCATTGACATTGCCCTCAGAGTTGGAATTGACGGTTGCAACAGAAGCTCTCATCCTGGGCCTGTCACTAACTTCACTCTTATAAAGTTTATCAAGTTTCAACCAACCAAGATGAAGAAAGACTTTACGGAAAACGTGGACTACATATTGATCCCTGAGATTGGCTGGGACCTCCTAATACAGTGGTATGGGATTAGTGAAAAATCAATGAGACTGTCAAGGTATAGTCTTGTTAGTGTTTTATATTAAATGTTATATGGATCATTGTAGAAAAGTTGTGAAGGCTCGAAAACATGCAATTGGAAAGCTCATGGTGGAAGTATACCCAATAACTGTACTGGTTCAACTCGTTTTTCCTGATAGCTCAGATGATGGTAAAATTGATTATGAAGTCAGCAGAAGTGATACAGTTGGTAAGAGTAATATTAGCATTTTATACAACACACATTTCCACTGCAGGAACTTATATTAGAGCATGCATAATTCTATGCTCTCCTTTTCCTAGCATTCGTTATCGAGAAGCTAAAGGAACTCCTTGACGTACCTGCTATGAATGAGGCACGACTTTGGCTTCAACGCTCTGACAAAAAGATATTGCTCAAACAAACGGACACCATGGGAGACAATAAATCACCTTCCTCTGTGGAAGACAATGATGTAAGTCATTCTAATAAAAACTAGTGTATTAATTTTCAACATAGACACTTATTCTTGAAGTTAAGAAAGGTGGCAAATGGACTTTTCAAGATGACATTTCAAAACCAAGGGAAAGGTATTACTACATGCATCTAGTCAACTTACCAATGTCTTCAACTAATGATGATTCCGATTATGAAGTTATGTCCTGAGCCATGTTTTTTCTGTACTTGTTATTAAAATGTTTTTAGCACAGAGAACACTTAAACATTAAATTCAAACATTATCATTAAATTTTCATGATGCATTGGTTAATTAATTTTATTTTTAAAATCATAATAAGAAATTTTGTAGACTACTTAGCATTTGCAACGAGAAACAATAATTCAATATGTATCAAATAACATGTAGAATGCTGTAATAAATCAACGTCAAGGTGTTCTATGGCATTGTGATCTGTCTCTTCTTGACTTAAGACTATAGACTCACTCACACTCCAGTTGAGCTTCTCTCTTATTCTGTCTCCTCTTCTTCACTTGAACTATCAAACTTGACTATGAAGTTATGACATGAGTCATGTTCTTTTTTTCTTTCTATTTCTTGTTTAAAAATATTTTAGTCAACAACACTTAATGTCATCAGTTAAATTCTTAATTATTTTATAAAAATCATAATGGTTTAGATCTGTCTCTAATAAATCTCAGAAAAACTACAATATTAAATTATTATAATATAAACACCTGTCACAAATGACAAATAATTATGTAAAGGTAACCATAGTATCATTAACTATGGAAATGAAAGGCATAAAAATGCTTGCATAAGTAGATCTAGAAGAAAAAAGTACGAACATGTAGCATAACAAAAGGTATAAAACTGTCATGAAAAAGCCAACTGCCAATTCGACATGTGTCAACTTTATCCAGTAAGTATGAAAGAGGTCATAATTTACCACAAGAAAACTTTTAGATTTGTTGTAGGATTTGTCTTCTTTAGATTTTTGTGGTTGATACCTCTCTCTGGTACCATCATCTTTATCTTGATGAAAATGTTTGCCAGGATTATTTCGAGGTAGCGCTAAATCACCATTATCACCATCGTCTCTTGGATGTTGAAGACGTGCATGCTCTTGCTCTGCAAGTGGTCCTCTCAGCAAGTTAGTATACTTTGCAGCAACCCAAAAACGATACATTAATCCAATACTAGCAAAGACAGTATTCAATTGATTTGGTTTAAAAATGCAGACTGCAATAAGGCAAAAACCGTGTTGTATAGTGACACCATTGAACAGAATCCTCATAGCAATATGAAATGTACTGAATGCATCATATAGATCCAATGATAGTATGTAACCTTGAAAAAATGAATACATGACAAATGTCAGAAGAGGAAAAAACAGGACCAGTTTTAAAAAAGACATTAACTCAACAGCATAAACATTGTAGATAAAGAGAAACACAAATAACTCCAACACTAGAGCTATGATAGCATTTATTAGAACATAAAGCTTGTTAAATTTATTCTTCCTACGAAAGACCCCATAACTAGCTTTCCATGGCATACTGAAGAAAAGGACTAATGATACGAAAGATAATAATACCCAAATGACAAGAGTCAAAATCATCGATGGAAGAATCCTCATACCTAGGTCTGGTAGTGGAAGAGACCATAAATCCGTTAGTGGTACGTTGTAGTCCGGGAAAATGGTGAGCAGTGTACGAGTCAATATGCATAAGTAAAGGCCAAGAATACCGAACGGAACCATTAACAACAAGACGTTCATGCATGAGCACATCACTCGGTGAACTACTCCATGACTAGCTCTGAATAGGATGCTAAAAGTAAGGAGGTAAGGCACGTCATAATCCGGGTAAATGGCGAGAAGTTCACGAATAAATATACCCAGGAAAATACCAACAACACATGTTTCTAATAAGAACAACATCTCTCTCCACTCGACTCCAGCGCAGCTAGCAATAACTAAAGTGGGCGGATAAGTTGACGCTCCGTCTGGTTTCCGTATACTTCCGAACACAAGACATCATCAATCAAAAACATGTGACATATTACTATTATTAATTCATTATCATGTGACAACATCTTTTAATAAACCATTCGTCTTCTTCATTTAAATTCATTGCAATCATTCATGTAGAGCAGGCTTGTTGGCATTGTTGTTGCAGTCAAGTTTCTCTCTTATTCTGTCTTCCCTTCATCACTTGTTTCATCATCACTTGAACTATCAAACTCAACTTGTGGATCTTTAATCCACGTACCATCAGATAATGGCAACCATCCTGAACTATAAATTAATATGAAGATGAATCAATAAAATGATATTATTTCCTAACCTGCGGAGTCTGTTATAATCACTATTAATATTTGATGATGTTACTACTTTGTCACTTTCTACCTCGCATGCTTTATCTTGAGATTGCAACATTTTTTGCTTTTTCTTTGGCACAGCAGAGTCACTTGTGTCATGGGCTGGTCCATGTCTTTTAGAGGTATCAGTTCCTTCCTTGATGTCGCCTTCTTTCTCAAATGATGATGATAATGAAGAAGATTGGCTGCTAAAGAGAGCATGGTCAAGAGCTGCTTGAGTCTGAGCTAGTAATGGCTACAAAACATGACATTAAAACATGTTATATGGAGGGTTTCCCACAAGACTTTGGTTTAGTGTTCATGCACCCTCTTGTCAGTGGATTTTAAAATTGCTCACAAAATTTGAAAAAGTACCATAAAAGTACTAGGAGAGAAAATTTTTAAAATACATATACATGTTTTTGGCTGTATAATTTTTTGTTAATTCAGCAGTTGTTTAAAAATCTTTTTAAGGTTAATCAATAATTGTGCAAAAGACCATGTATTATGAATACAAGGTATTTGGTCCAGATGTTAAAATTTTGCCAAAAATGAAAAAGAGAGAATTTACCATTTTAATAATTTTTCTGATACATATACATGTTTTTATGTTGCGTAGCAAGTTTCAGTTGATTTCAATCAAAATTAGATTTTTTACAAATTTTTAAAGTTACTAAAAAATTGGGCCAATGACCAAAGGCTATAGCCTTTGGTCAACACCAAATTTTGTGAAAAATGGCTAGGAGAGATTTCTCCATTTTTATAATTTTTTCTGATAGACATACATGTTCTTATATTGTGTAGAAAATTTCAGCTGATTCCAATCAAAATTGGATTTTTTATGAATTTTAAAAGTTGCTCAAAATGTCATGTACTGTATTAGCTCACTTAGCATGCTAAGTGGGAGGGCTGCTTATATGACATCCTCAAATGTATATACCTGCTCAGCTTTACCAGGTTGAGATTCTTCCAGACTACGTTTCATATTTGCAAGAACAGCTATTAATGACATTATAGAATCATTTACTATTAGTTTTAAATTTAAATTGTCATATAGTAGGATCAAATTAAAACCATAAAGTAATGTAATAACATAGTACCTTTAATGTGCTTCTTTCCCTTCCTATGAACTGACAGAACCATTAGAGTATCAAAGACTGGCCTGCTACTACATACAGTACATGCAAACCTAATAGCAAAAATATATACCTTAAGCCTACTATTTTTAGCGTCTACTAAATTTAGCGATATTAGCGAGAGAGCTTTAAATCACTAAATTAAATAGACGCCAAAATAATTATTATTCATTATAATAGTTATTATTTATAGTTAATTTTGTTAAAAACGCTAAAATTAGTAACGCTAAACATGACTTTTGCTGATTTCGCTAAAACTAGTAGACGCAAATAATAGTAGGCTTAAGGTAAACAATTTACTAAGTTCTTCACCTTCCATCTCTCATTTTCAACACTTCACTCTCAGGTATCTGACCAGCCAACAAATGGTCTACTCTGCGTTTCTAGGAGAAATTCATGCTACTGTAACTATTAAAGAATAAACACTTACTCTAGCTTGTCTAATCTTTGAATATTGATCACCAACCAGTTTGAACGCCATTTGTTATAGCCACACCCACAAAAGTATTATCAATTTTTTTCATTTTTTTCTGGTGATCTCTCAGGAAAAATTTCCGAAAAATTATTTTTCCCGGGCAATAATTTTTAAATTATTAATTTTTCCTGGCAAATTTCTCGGGAAAATTTGCCAGGAAAATAATTCTTCCCTGGAAATTTGCTGGGAAATAATTATAATTATTTTAAAAATCATTAATGTAAATATTTCCCAAAAATAATTTTATTAAAAAATTAATCATTAGACTAATTAAAAATTTTCCCGGGAAATTTGCCGGGAAAATAATTTTATTTTTAAAATCATTAATTTAAAATTTTCCCTGCAAATTTCCCTGGCTCAGCCTAGCGGAATACTTTATACATTTGTCAATGCCTACAGCTAATGCTGTTGTATAATAGTCTAAACCTCACCAAAAAATATTTTTCTATTTTTTATGTATAGGTGCAATTTCTAGGTGTGGTTATCTTCTTTCACAGGTTTGTTTCTCATATGAGTTGCGAGTAGCAGAACAAAGGAATCCTAACTTGTCCAATGAAAATGTGGCTGTACTGATTAGCCACGTGCTAACAGACGGTCTCCTTTGGCACGTAATCGCCAGCCTTTATAAACTGGATAGCCTTGCGTCATTTAGATCCAAAGAGTGTTGACTAGACCCCAGTCTGAAATCACTGCTGCCTTCAGTTAGAACTCTTTTTCACGCTGTCCAAAGCTACAACAATTGTATCATGGAGAAGACGAGTAAGTAACTAAGCAAGCAGTGCGCATGCAGCTAGGCTGAGGGTGGGGCTGCTCTCCAGTCATTGGTTTCTTTTTAGACCTAAAACGTTCTTTAGAAGAAGAGGAAGAAGACGACTTGGACTTGATAATCCTCCCCGATCCGACTGAATCTCCTCCTCTCGAACAAGACAGAGAAGGCCAGGCAGGATCAAAGAAAAGGAAGAGAAACAGGACTGTCTACTCCACAGATCAACTTAAACAGCTTGAGGACTCCTTCAAAGCCAATCCATATCCAGACAAACTCATGAGGGACAATCTGGCAGAAGAGCTGGACATGAGTGAGAAGAAAGTTAATGTAAGATTAACTGCATGTGGACTATTGCATTGAAACTCCTTGCTATGCTTGCTTGCATATGCATTATGTATATATATTTCTGTCTGTAGAACTGGTTTCAGAACAGGAGAGTGAAACTCAAGAAGCATTCTCAATCAACAGCTAGCAGTGCCCCAGCCTCTTCTACAGTAACTGCTAATCCTAACTACAGCAGTACAACAACTGATACCATGATGGTCACACCGGCACCAATGCAGCGACCTCATCCAATCCAGTTTCCTAACATCAGTCATCCATACTCCTCTCCAGTAGGAGTTACATTTGCAATGCCGCCCCGTCCAAAGACTGCAGGTGTTTCCCCTATACAGTTCCTATCACATCCTTCAGCTTGGTCTCCCTATACTCCATCAGCAACTCCTACTGCTCCTCCTCCAATACCTTACTATCCCAATGGGGCACCATTCATGTCTCCTGCAACTTTTGTTCCTGCAGTCACGATGGCAACGACGCCAGTTCCTTATCAGTTCTTTGCTCCAACCACGCCAACAATGAGCAATGCTGCTGCTCTCCCTATAATGGAGCTCACTCCTCCTCCAAGTGTGACCATGGCCTCAGTCCAAGGATCTCATTTTACCTATAGCTATTAGTTGATAGAAGAGACATACAAACAATGTGAACTATGTGAAAGTTTTATTTCACGTACAGATCACAATCAACTTGTGTATATAGTGTAGTTATAATCTACATATTTTAACTGTTTTTTTTCTTTTAAAAATAAATATGACATAAAACTACATTAACTGTGTACGTGCATGCATGGCTTTGGAATTAACAATGTGGACAGAAACGGTAAATAAGTAATCATAATATAAAACTTTATGTGGATATATATATATACGGCTCATTTGATTTCATACAGTCATAATAAGTAACACAAAATATTATAATACAACAACAAATCTGCAATGATAATAACAAAATATTACAATAGATAGAGTCGATATAATTTTATTGTTTCGTCTTCCATTTCTCGGCCGCTTCTCTCTTAGCCTCTGGAACAAACTGGTTCTTTGCTCCACCCAAGACGTGACGAGTCGCCTCCGAAGCAAAAATTATCGGTCGAAATATGTTACCTGGAATGTGACGCAAAACGCCACCAACTGCTCCTGTGACACCGTGATCAGTGTGCTGTGTAGAGGCAGCCTGGTAGAACTCTCTGGCAGTATGACCTAAACCCTGAGAGGAGAGAGAGAGGGAGAAAGACAGAGAGAGAGGGGGGGAAGGAGGGAGGGAGGGAGAGAGAGAAATATGAGAGAATAGAGAAGGAGATAAAAAATAGAGAAAGAGAGAGAGAGAGGAAATGAAAGGGCAGATTAAAGGTAGAGTCACTTTGAACAGAGGGCAACAAGGAGAGGGACAATAGACTAATGCTAATTGCTCTATCGCTTTACCTGCTCCAGTTACAAATTAATAGCACCAGTCTTGATCAGGGCCAACAATTAAATACATATTAATTATTCTTGTTCAGCTAATATCCAAACAACTGTCAGGATGCGTACATGTACAGAATATAACCTCCAGAGTCTGTTACAAAGCCCATAGCATATAGTACAGAATTATTGAAACTTATATACTTATTCTGCTTGTGGTGTAGAACTGGCCAGTCATGGCAATTCAATGATGGCATGTACATTATAACACACAATCCCCCAGTACATGTACAGAGGATTATAACATGTACACACACCAGAAAACCAGCTGTTTTCATAGAGTATCACACACTAGCAGTGTCAAAAACTATAGTGATTCATATCTTAGAGATTCAATTTATAAAGGACAGATTATACTGTTGTACAAAAAGGGAGGAGGCCCTCCATCTGCTACAAATGAGTCTCAAGTAGTGAACAGGCCAGAAACAGCCTAAACCAACCATTGTCACATGAAGGGGCTTAATAAACAATATAAAGGATTGCTCATTAAAATATCAAAATGAGACAATTGCAATTCAACCCCGTCTAGCACCGTTACCATATGATGCCCTAAAAAACGACAAGTATGCACTACAAAGACTTACAATACGGCACAGAAGCACTTTTAATTATACACAAGAGTTAATACTATGCAATATAAGCTAATACTTTCCGTGTATAGTATACATAATAAACACGTTAATACTAGAGAGAGCAGCTGTTTACTGTCCCTTATCTTAATAATCAATTACAGGCTAAGAGCATAATGTCCTTGTTGATAATGAGAGAGAAAGAGAGGAAGAAAGGTAGAGGGAGAAAGGTAGAGGGAGAAAGGTAGAGGGAGGAAGAGAGGGAGAAAGGTAGAAGAGGGAGGAAGATAGAGGAAAGGAAGGTACATGTAGAGTAGCTACTAGATACAGTGTGCTGTGTGTGCAATAGCAGTAATACAGTGAATACATTTTTGAATAAAATAGTAGAAATATAGAATACAGATAGAGATAAAGTAAATCCAAAACACATTAAATGCTTCATTCAAGACATACATGTACATTGTATTGTATGACATTAATCATCGATTGGTGGTAGGGTCTACATAGAAAGGCCACTTTGTGTGTACAGTAGAGAGTGCATGTGTGAACTAACTGTTGTCACTATATTGTATGCATTAGCAAATCCTTCCCTTAGATCAGCCGACTGGTGAGGACCGGATGGAAGAGGAGGAGAAGGAGGGACACTGTTAACATACTGTACCCCTTCAATGGATGAGCCATTAGTTCTCTCAATGGGACTAACCATATCAAATGCAGTCTGGGCCAAGGACTAAAAAAATACAACAAAGTTCATGTGTATAACTAGTAATGTCTAATTTAAGCATTGCTAGAAATAATACTAATAGTAAAGAATCTATTATATTAAGAATGTGTGTGAAAAGAGCAAGACACCCTATCAAGATTAAGTTGTTGCAAGAGCTTACTACATACACATGTAAGTAATGAAGAAGAGGCAATAGCACTAAGAGGAGACACTGTAATTAAAGTATAGCTTGACTGATAGTATAATAGGTTGAATGAATATATTGAATAGTGCAATAAGCCAGGGCTGTTTTTCCTCATGTCACATGGTAGATGATCTGATGTGATATGCAATTATAATAGTGCTACTAGGTACTAACTAATAATGGATTCTACTAGTGTATGATCATGGAGTATGCTATTACTCCAACATAATGAGTCTCTATACACTCACTTGTACTGAGTAGAGTATTCTGTTAGTCAATTCAACAACTGCTACACCAGAAGAGTTTGCGAATGAATAGGTTCCTCTCTGTAGACCCCAGACAATGCGACCGTCTTCCTGATACTGTTGAACAGGGAGCCAAAACAGATCAACTACACCTTGAACTGGGTGGGGGGGGGAGAGTGAGAAAAGAGAGACAAAAGAATAAGAATACATTTATAAAATAGATCGAAGGAAAAATGAAAGAGAGAGAGAGAAAAAGAGAGAGAGAGGGGGGGGGAGAGAGAGGTTCCTCACATAGTTGTGTGACGTGGTACATTGGTCCAACTCCCTGGAGTATCCTTGGTAACTGATAGCTACCAATGTCCTGCAACCATTCATTGGCTACTCTCTCAAACAACTGATCCCATCCCAATATACTAAAACATAATAAAACAGAGAACAACATAACCTACACATATACATTTAATGTACCAACACACAAATAAGATATCAGAATAATAGCATTCTCTATTGCCAGTGACATGCACATGTACATGCAGTACTAATATTCCATTGACAGTTATGCGATAGTACATTAACATGAACTGCATTAAACTACACACAGAGTGGAATACCTGCAATGTACTGTTAGATACACATACTAACACATGACTGACATACAAATGCACAGTCCACTTAAGTAAAGTGGGCCCTCCTTACCCTTGCTTGTATGTGATGCTTTTAAGAGTCACTTCAGAGTTATCCAAGTGACTAAGTCCCAACAATAGGCCAGCAAATGTTCCCTATATCACGTGAGAGTCACATGATAATCTCATGATGAGTATAATTATATTACCAGGTGTTCTGAGATAAGTCTCTTAGCTTCGTAATCAATCCGTATCGGAACGTCAGGATAAAACACAAAGGATTTAATGAAGACACTCGCCGGCTGAGACTGGACATGATCTGTCTTCTTCTCACCTGATTTATTGCTTCGTTTTTGAGTAGGAGGAGAATAATCAGTCATTATTACTAATAGCAAAAAATAGAGAATAAAAAACTATTAAAAATTATTTTTCACAAAGCACCCAGCTACTATACATTGGTAAATACCTTACCTTCTTCACTAGGGGCTGCTGCTGGTACCAGCTGCTGAAAGTAATCATGTAGGAACAGGAATGTATCCTGGAAAGAGAATGAAAGAGTGAGTGTAATGATGTGGGATCTTGCCTATTTTATTTATTAAGCACATAGTATTAATCTTTTAAATGTGATATTAATAAATAATGTATTAGATACAATGTGTACATGTACAGTGCAAGAGTGCATCCATTACTTGATCAATGTTGAGTCGTATTGGTAAGAGTGACAGTCTAACTGATGCCTCTAAGCCGTTGAGAGAGGGGGAGACAGACTGTGTAGTTGAGGGTACATCAGTTCCTTCACTTTCAGGGAGTGTGAACAAAACCTTTAGTGAGAACTGAGGACGACAAAAGAGAGTAAAATTAGAGGTAGTGTGATATTTTCTAACCATGTTAGAAAGGGACTGTCTAGGTAGTGAGTCCGTGCAGTGCTGATAAAGGAACTTGTTGATAAGTGATTGAGAGAGTCTGTCCCTTATCTCAATGTCGTGTATTAGGACAACGAACCGCGAGGACTCGTGGGAACCAGACGGATAGGTCTCGTGTTGAACACGTAACTAAAGGAAGAGAGAGGGAAAGTGACACAGAAATTTAAGAAAGAGATGGAGAAATTAGAAAGAGAGAAATACATGTAATTTGCTGGCAAAAAAACTTTACAATAATAATGTCACTGTGTACATACATGTACATGTACATGTATATATTACTAGCTGTATTTACTAACTTTGCTTATTTCAATCTCGACCAGTTTATTTTGGTCCCGCCCCATTCCACCAACTGATCTCTTCAAGTCACCTCTAATCCCAGCTCCTCCATTCTTCTTCATTTTCTTAGTCTTGGCATCAGTAGCCATTGATCTCTTTGCCGAGAGGAGAGGAGAGAGGGAGGAGGAGGGAGAGGGTGAGGATAGAGAGAAATCCCGTCCTCCGTACAGCTGCCATATGATGGTCAGTTCCCTCAGTGAGTATATGAACTCAGGGTTGGGGTAGCCTTGGGGTCTCTTTAACTGATCAACCACTTCATCCTACAAGATACAAGAAATACGTGTACATGCATGCTTTTATTATAATTAAAATAATTTTTTAATTTTTAGCATAAATGGTCAACTATTTTTTTAAAACAAATTTTAAGTTGATTCTGATTTCATTTTTGAGCTAAAATGTGCCTAAATATTTATAGCCCATGGTTTTTTCCAAAAAATGGCTCCGAAATCACTTCCAATTTTTATTACATTTTTTGATACATATTGATGTACTTATGCTGTGCAGAAAGTTTGAGCTGATTTATACTTGAATTTCTCGAGTTATGACTATTTTTAAAATAAACCAATTTCTGAAAAAATCACTGTACTATAGCCCATGGTTTTTTTCAAAAAATGGCTCCGAAATCACTTCCAGTTTTTATTACATTTTCTGATACATATTGATGTACTTAGGCTATGTAGAAAGTTTGAGCTGATTCTGACTTGAATTTTTCGAGTTATGACCATTTTAAAAATAAACCAATTTCTGAAAAAATCACTGTACTATAGCCCATGGTTTTTCCAAAAAATGGCTCCGAAATCACTTCCAATTTTTATTACATTTTCTGATACATATTGATGAACTTAGGCTGTGCAGAAAGTTTGAGCTGATTCCGACTTGAATTTTTCGAGTTATGACCATTTAAAAAATTAACCAATTTCTGAAAAAATCACTGTACTATAGCCCATGGTTTTTCCAAAAAATGGCTCCGAAATCACTTCCAATTTTTATTACATTTTCTGATACATATTGATGAACTTAGGCTGTGCAGAAAGTTTGAGCTGATTCCGACTTGAATTTTTCGAGTTATGACCATTTAAAAAATTAACCAATTTCTGAAAAAATCACTGTACTATAGCCCATGGTTTTTCCAAAAAATGGCTCCGAAATCACTTCCAATTTTTATTACATTTTCTGATACATATTGATGAACTTAGGCTGTGCAGAAAGTTTGAGCTGATTCCGACTTGAATTTTTCGAGTTATGACCATTTTAAAAATAAACCAATTTCTGAAAATCAATTAACACACCCAAATTTTGACATTAAACTGACTTACAGGTACAGCAAAATAATTATCAATGATTCTCAATTCTTCTCCATCACTCAACAGACACTTCACAACGGGAACTGATCCTGGCCCCTGTAATAAAAAAATTAAAATTTTTTTTAAATTAGGCAAATATCTTGGATAAATAATAAAACTATAAAGTGGTCGTACAGTACACACAAAAAGCTTTATTATCAACTTGTTATGTCCCATTTTATTTTGCTATTAATTATTAATCATTCATTTTATATTTCTACAGTGTCATTACTACTAATGGGGCTCTCACGTACCACTTTAGCTGTTGTTAGTGTGGGCAGTATACAATAGTCATCCTCATCAAAGATCCACTCATCATCAATACTTGCACCAGCCTTCTTCTGTTTTCCTCCTCCTCCTCCTTTCCTCTCTCCTTCAGTCTCTTCTCCTTCAGAGTCTGAACTGAATATAAATGCAGTAGTAGTAGCCACTCTCTCTTCACTAACTGTAGGACTACGTATTACTGTATTAATAATAAAATAAAGTTATACAACCATAATACCTTAGAGTGACTTTTAATTGCGGGTACTAAATTTTGCGATTTTAGCACAAGGTAGATTTTGCTGGTATTAAAAATTGCGATTAAGTAATTATTACTAATAGTTATATGGCATTATGATGTCATTATTAATAATTGCGCGTATTAATAATTGCGATTTTTAACCCAAACGCAAAATTCGCAATTAATAGTACCCGCATTTAAAAGTAACCTTAAGGTAGTCATTCTATAGTTGATGTGTGCGTTAGCTGCTACGGATGAGATACTCACCTGATCCATGGCCAGTGTCTCCTACATCATCAAAGTCCTCCATAGCTTCACTGATCAAATCACCAACTTCTTTCACAGGCTACAAGAGCATAAAATCATCATTAAATCATGAATGCATATACATGTACATGTATGTACACATACATTGTACATAATAGTGAAGCACATACATTATAAAACATACAATAGACATTAGTGTAGACACTAGAACTGACCTCATCTACTCTACCACTATCTCCAGTAGGGGTATCAGTAGCTGTATCATTAATAGTATCATTACTAGCTCCACTGCTAGCACCAGTTCCATTACTGATAGGCTCAGTATCATACATAGTCTCATTGGCACACTCAATAGTGTCTCCTGCTGATAAGTCTTTGGTCTCTGAGAGGTATACGAGAAGGTCCCGGAGTACAATACAAGAGTCTACACACATCATGAACTGTAGCTCTGATCCAGAACACTGGAAATCAACCGCAGGGACATTTGATGAAAACTATATGTACAGGGTAGCATACAACAGGTAATGATGATTTGCATACTTCAGTTGAGTCATTCTTATTGCATAGTCTCAGTATGAAATCAATACTACCCATCTCCATTACATTAACAAAACCTGTAGGAGAGGAGAGGAGTAAGAAAGGGACAAGAGATGAGAAAAGAAGGAGATTCAAACAAACCATTTCTTAGGATAATTTTGTCTTGTCTTTTGTCAGAGATTGATAGCGTGAGATCATCCAGCAGGACTTTAACAACCAGCAATGGTGAACCAGTTACCAGTGTACTGGATACTCTCAAAGACTCCAACGAGAGAACAGCATGTGTGGGTATATACAATGGCCTATAAGAATATGTAGTTATTATAAGAAATATAAAAAATATTACATATACATGTACATTACGTACATGTTATTGTAGTGGTAAATTATTTTCTATCATTATTATCATTATTATTATTGTTGCTATTATTATTACTTGTATTGTACAGCTGAGTCCAGAAGTGATGCATGCAATTCAGTGATGACTGTTGGTGGGTCATAGCCAGGAACGTGATCATCTCTTAAATCAAACATATCACCGACCTATTGAGAGAGGGTAGGAGGAGGTGATAGAGAACAAGAGGGAGGAGAATGAACAGGTGGAGAGAAGAACAAGAAGAAATAATACATGTACATGTACATGTATGTGCATCAATAAAATGAAATATGAGTGAAGATGATAAAAGTAAGAGGATCTCACTTGTTTGATGAAACTGTCCTCAAGTGATGTGACATGAAACTCAAACAGTGTCTGACTAACCTTTACAGCACATTTATGAACCTACAAATACATACATATAAATAAATGAATTATTATTATGATATACACACAGTCAACGATAAGAATAGGCATTGATTATAAAAAGGCTATAAGCTGCTAGTTAGTTAGTATTCCATTTGTACTTTTCTATTAGCATTGATCTCAGTTCTACTCTCAATTGAAAGAGACAGCATAGCCTCATCACTACTAGCATCAGTGGCCAGTAGTCCTTCAGTCATGGGCCTCAGTATGTTAGACAGTAGCAATGAGCTGGTGTCTATCAGGAGAGGAGAGGAGTGAGAGGGAGAGGAGGAGTGAGAGGGAGAGGGAGAGGGAGGAGGGTAGAGTATGTCTCTTGTGACTCTAGCACAATGTTGAACCTCAACTTCATCAACCTGTAATGAACAATGAATGAATTTTGATAAAAATTGAAAGTAACTTTACAAATCACAACTACAATACATATATATGTATGTACAATCTTACATTAATGCAGAGTACAATGCATCCGGTCTCTCCCTTATAATCCAATGCAGTACAAATGGAGCCTCCATTGAACTCAATGAGGAGTACACCAGTTTGAGAGGGCACGGAGGAAGAGGGAGAGTGGACACGCTGTGGACTCAAATCAAGAAGACGAGGGTCACTAGACCTCTCCTCCTCTCCCTCTCCCTCCTTCCCATTAAATGTATAACAAGATGGCTCAGTATCGGGACTTTCCTATAATTATAAATACAATTGTTATTACAATAATAATGTTTTTATAAATTATGCACACAAGCCTAATGCTTTATTAGTATTATACAATGTAAGCAATTATGGTCATACTTTTACTGGTAGAGCTAGTGATATTTGTCCTTCTTTAATATTCAAAGAGACTGAGAGGTAGGTTGGTGAAGGAGTGTGATCAGGACTAACCCTGCCACTCGGTGAATCATGATCAGTGTCTTCATCACATGAATCTATACAAGAGAGAGAGAGAGAGAGAGAGAGAGAGAGAGTGAAAAACATATCATATACATGTACATGTAAGAGGAGCAGTGAGAAAGAGATAAGATGGACAATGAGAGGGAGGGAAAACATTAAGAAAACAGTTTGAGAAAGATACTGTACCTTCTTTGAGAACAGATCTACATAGTTTAAATTTCTCTTCCTTGGCGACAGCTGGTTGTAGCATGTCCATATTACTGTAGAAGAGACTCCTGGCGGTTGCCCTCTCCATTGCAGCTGGAGTGGCTGGCTCCCATAACGAGAGATCAACAGCAAATCTGTTATACAGTCTCTGAAGGAATGCCTGACTGGGTATGTGAACGGAGAGGGAGGGAATGGAGACTGATACAGAGTAGGTTGAGGATGAGAGTAAATGAGACTTAAAGGTAGCCATTTCTTCTTGAGTTGCAGGGAGAAGGAGCTCATCAGAGGATAAACCATTCTGGGACTAGAAATGATAGAGAAATGAATAATAAAATACATGTAAGAACAGTTTTTTTATAATTGATACATACGCATACACTCTTGCCATTCTACAATGAGTATTAATTATCATTATACTATTACTAACAAGTGAGTATAGAGTCACATGATCACTAAACAGAAAGTTGTTGAAACAATCAGTAGTAGCCAATAAAATTTATGATTCATTAAAATAACTAATGGGACAGGTGTTACTCTGCTATTGACATAGTTACATGTTTTGGCACGGGAATTGCATGTATATAAAAGTATGACAAAGCAGTTACTCCTACTTCACCACAAAACAAGATGTCTCTTGGTTGCCTACTCTTACTGTGCTTAGTGACACAATCATTCTCACTGTGTGTCTTTAGAAATGGAAGATGTACCAATCCTTCTCTTATTCTGATGTCTCAGGATGATAGCAGTAATGGCTTTGATCTAACAATAAAGGAACTACCCTTAGTGTCTACTAATATCTCAATAACACCTGAATGTACTGCAACAATGGGAATTAAAAAAATATCGTGCAAATTCAATGAGAGTGACAATTCAATGATGATGGTAAGCCAAGTGATTCATATTCATGTACAAGACTGTATCATTGCCTGTGATTATATAAATACCGGGGGTACACATTATAACATGGTAAAATGTAAATATTCTGAAAAATAAAGCTTGAGCCTACCTACAAAACCAATTCCTAAAATACTAGCTAAATATTATTGTACCAACATTTCAATTTTCAACAGGTCAGTACTGATGAGACTCTTTCTAGTGCTTTGTACGATATTTCTATTTCCCTTGATGTCTATGATCAAAAATGCTGTGATGTGTCAGCAAACATGACTCACAATATAACATTGGAAGTTATTGGTAAGATAATGTGGATTATGAAATTAAAGGAGTGTGATAGATATTAGCTTATTTAATGCAGAAAGTCGTTTCCCTGCATGGGATGTATATATACAGTTTCTAAGTCATTATCTTTTTAGATAACCCACACTTACAGACAGAGACTAATGATCCTCACACCTTACATTGTAGTTGGAGTTCTAAAATCCCAAACCTCAATTTTTTGATTGCATTTTTATTAAATGGCAACACAATAGGATACTGTGGGCAATTCACCACTAGTCCTATGGAGCATATAAATGATATTACTATTTACTATGACAAAGTTTGTACTATAAGAATTAACAAGCTGACAAGCAAAAACAAAGGTCGCTACTCGTGCTTACTAATGATACCGAATCCTGATGACAATGGATACTTAAAGTTTTATTCAGAATCAACAGAGCTTTCACCTAATAAGGAGCATATATACCAAATAGTGCTTGGAATCATAGGGGCCATTATTTTTGTCGGCATCATATGCCTAATTACATATTGCTGCTATCGCAAGTTCTTTAAGAATGAACGTGAAAGAGATAATGAACAAGGCGCTGGTGAGCCACTACTACCTGATAGAGAACCAGGCTGACAGTGAGAGACCAGCAAACATTACTTTTATTGTATGCAATAGCTGTATGCTTTATTATCAAATAAAATAATATTATCTTTTAAATGGAAAAGGATTTGATACTAGACAAAGTATGATGTACATGTACATGTAAGTATAGCAGGAATATAAAAAAAGACTACACAATTTTCTTCAGACACAATCAACTGTCGACCAAAATCAGGACCAAAGAAAAAGTAGGCTTTTACTTCTCACAGACATGTGGCAGCAACACATAATTATTTTATTAGCATAGGAAAATTCAATAATAGCATAGGAATATTCAAATATTGCTGATAAAATTCATAGTTCTTAAATAGGGCGTGTCTCACCAGGACATAGCAGCAGACACACCTATTTTGACCTAATAAGGATAAGCCAAACAAGATGACTTCTGCAGTCTCTCTTGGTTGCCTACTGTTCCTATACTTGGTGACACAATCATTCTCACTGTGTATCACTAGAGATGAAGCAAACACAACATGTACCAATTCTTCTCTTGTACTGGTGTCTCAGAGTCAAGTGAAGGAGAGTAATGATGATGGGTTCTTCACTCTAACAATTAGAAACCTGCCCTTTGTTTCTACTGATTGCTCAACAACAAATGCAGAGAAAAAAAGTATCTATACTTAAGGAAGGTATACCATTGGAGTATAACTTCACTGACACATACAATACAACATTAATGGTAAGTTAATGTACACGACTACATGTACATGTAAATATCACAATACCAGTACTAATTAGTACATTCAATTTCATGTTATTTGTGCAAGCCTTATTATCAATGTAACCAAACATTCATTTCTGAAATCATTATTAATCACTATTATGGCTCATCATAGGTAAAAGTTCAGAGTGACATTAAGATTGGGGAGCACATCATTTCTCTATCATATCGTCTTTCTGACCCACAATGTTCTAATGTAGTTGTAGCCTTTAATAATAAGATAACACTGAAAGTTGTTGGTAAGTATTATCATTAAGTGACATTGTACAATGAACATGTACTGATAAATGCTGTGAATAACTACTCTCTCTACACGTATCATTTCAGATGACCCTAAAATAGTGCTAAAGACTAACAACCCTCATATTTTCGACTGCGAATTAAACCCTAACCTTTTTAATGCTGATGGATTCATTGAATTTTCATTGAACACAACGTATTAGGATACTGTGGGCAATTCACTAGTCCTGTGGACCACAAGAATGATATTTCCATATATTACGATTCTTCTGCTGGAGTTTGCTCCTTAAAGATTAACAAGCTGACAAGTAAAAATGAAGGGAGCTACTCATGTTCACTAATGATCCCTTATCCCGATGACAACGGATTCTTAAAGTTAAACTCAAATTCAGCATCTCTTTCAAGAAGCCAAAATAATGAGTACATATATCAAATAGTCATTGGTGTCATAGCAATTCTAGTTTTGGGTGGTATTATTATATCATGTCTGATAGTGTACATTAAGAAGAAAATGAAAATGAAAAAAGGCCATGCAGGGGATAAAAAACCATTAATACCTAATGCTGAAAATCGTGAAATACAAGAGCCTCAACAGGAAAATAGAGAAGAAGGTGGTGAACCAGAATAAATACTTGTATTTAATAATTTTGGCTGAATAATGAATATACATCTACATTGTACATACATGTACATTTACCTCTGTATCTACTACACTTATACATATTTTACATCCCAATATAATTATCCAAGTTAAATATACACATATGTACCTTTCCAATGCCAGAGAAATAGTCTTTCTTTTGTGAGAAAGGAGATGGTTTGCTATGAGGAACTTTAACATCAAATTCATCAGAATCAGAATCAGATTGAGAGAGAGGAGACATGTCAAGTGGTAATTCGTCCAATGGACTCTCATCAAACTGATTAACAGTGACACGAATACTAGGAGAAAGGAGAGAGGGAGGAGGAGAGAAAGAGAGAGGGAAGGAGAAAAAGAATAAAGATAAGAAAAAGTGCATGTATATGTACATACTACTAGTATTACAAATAAAAGTAACAGACTAACGAAAAATGAAATACATGTAGGACTTAAACAATGTTTATAAAATGTATTATATTCACAATTTATTAGTGTTGTGGATGCATACCTTGTCATGTTGAGCTCATTATCAAAGTTGGTTTCAGTTTTTCCAGTTCCTAAGACAAGAAACAGCTCCTTGTTATCCTCATTTCCATCCAAACTGAAATAAGCTATAGAATTAAGAAAATGCAGATAAAACACATGTAAATGTACATGTAGCTACAAAGTAAGCACATAAAGTCTAAAGAATTTTGGTCAATTTTAACTTGAAATGACTCACCGTTGAGTGTTTTGGTGTGTACATTAAATGCTGTTGCTCTTTGTGAGGGTGATACTGAAGTGCAATAGAAGGAGAGGTAAGAGACATCAAGGAACAAGACCTCAGGTCTTAGAGGAGTCCGGTACCAAGGGGGCCTCACTGTATGACTTAAATCAGCAACTGGAAACCTAAAATAACAATAATAAGCATAATAGTAATAATAATAATAATTATTATTATTTAAAAGGAGTGAGAAATGTAATTTTTAAAATAATGACAAATTGCCATAAAAATAATATTCTTTTTTTTCACCTCAGTGAGAGTGATACAGAGTCAGTCAATACTTTTAATGAGAGTCTCTGCTCCTTGTTAGGGGCGGAGCCTGTTGCCATGGCGTGAGTGAAGAGTGCTTGCGGAGTGAGCTACAAAAAGAAATAATTACATCATATGAAGCTGGCGTATTTAGAGGCTCAATTAGAATTATATAATTGCAATTGATGCATAAGCCTGAAGAGAAAGTAATTGAAATTTTATCGAAATAGATTTCTCTCAGTCTCTTTACTGATACAGTATCTTACTCTAATGCATATTGAATCTCATTAACTAGTACATGTATATGTACATGTATATGTACATGTACATATGTACTTGTGCGTGTAGGTCTGAGTTTAAAGGTCCTAGTCCAAGACCCTGGTGATGATGATCAGTGGTGTTCTGATTAGGAGGGTGGAGCAATGGGTGGAGCCTGTCTAATAGTGTGACGTCGACGTAAACATGTACATGTAATAGCTGAGCTTCAATGGTTGTAGTGGTAACTGATGAATCTTTTAACTATAAAATAAAGACAGTTATAGCAATAATAATAAAAATTCTATTTCTTTCTCACTTCATTTGATGAGTACATTTTCAGTTTCAAAGCTGGTTTAGCATTCTTGCTATCTTCTTTTAACTGAACCAACTGAAAAAAATTAATGAAATGTAGAACATGTAAATGACAAAAATGCATAAATACTAGCAGCATTGTACAATACATAAATATTATAACACATACAAGTATAACTGTAATCATTTCAATAGTCATTGACTCACCGGTTGGACTGAGACTGGTTTGATGTCAGGTATACTTGCTTCGTTGTGATACAAGAACTCCAATATTTCAGATGATGCAATGGACACATCAACATCAACAGTATCACCTACTGTAGCTATACCAACCCTAACTGTTGACATCCACATACTAGAGAAAGACAGAGGAGAGAGAATATTAAATTTATTAAATTTACACATTATCACAAAGAAAATGAAGAACAGGGAGAGAGTTCCAATTGTTAACATACAAGAGATGGTCTGTTGGTAAGACCCTCCCCAGCTGCTCCTGGTACCGCCCCACGTTGTACTTGTTGACTCTTCCATGGAGTATGTCCCAAACAGACTCAAAGTATTTGACAGGGTCTAGTCCGCCTTCATCAAGGCTCCTGTACTCCTCAGTGGAGAGAGATGAAGGAGGAGAGGCCCCAACGTGAGACTGAGCACTTAGAAACATTTCAGAGTCTTGCATGAGAAGAGAGCTCTCTCCTCCTTTACCTCGAGAAGATGATGAAGAGTAAGTATGAACTGGGTTAGCCTCCAGTAGTGCTAAGGTTAAGCCACTAAACACTAGTGTATAGCGACAGAGATCACCCCCACCACCCCCACCTGCTAGTTCCTCTCCCTTTCTCCTGCTCCCTCCTCTTCTGTTGTTGAGAGGAGATGACGAAGGAGAGAGTGTCAGAGGAGAGACTCCTGATAATTGCTGTAAACCGACTCCGCCTCCCAGCTGAAACTGATTCATTAATGGCTGCCGTGTTTTTATAGTTTGTTGATTAAAGGCTCTCCCTCCTCCTCCTCCTCCAAATGGCCCAGCTCCTCTTGTAGTCCTGATAGTGCTCTCCTGCTCCTCAGAGTTCAAATCAAACGAGTAAAATACTTCATCATTGGCGGCCGGTGATTCCTTATTGCAGCTGCTCATGTGATCCCAGGGATCCAATTGCTGTCTCTCTCTCTCGGCTTGTTTCAGCTTCCTCTGTGTCTCCATGTGTTCGGCTAGCTGTGTCTCTATAGTCCTCATTGCCTGTTGGGGGATTGGTCTGTTGAAACCAGTGGCAAGGGGGCCTTCCTTCATTCCTCTTGTCCCTCTCTTTGCTTCATAGTCAGTGGATGGTATTGACTGTTTAACTAGTGAGAGATAGAAAGGGAGGGAGAACAAAAGAGATGAAAAGTAAAATAGATTAATGAGCTCATTTCATCAGCAATAGATGCATTATGCATACTATAAATACCTTTATCAGATATATCAGTGACCAAGTCAATGAGTTGGTGTAATTGCTTAGGATACAATAAAACATGAACTGCTCCAATGTTTGCTTCAATGTCAAGTTTAGGCTCACCCTCTCCTCCTCCTCCTCCTCCTCCTCCTTCCTCTTCCGGTATTTGTCTCATTCGTATGGTTACATTAACATCACCGGCAGCAGAAGCCACAGGAGTGCCACCATTAGTATATATGGAGGGAGGATTAGCTTCATCAAAGAGTGAGTCTAGTAGTGAGAAATACATGTACATTGCATTGAGTAGTATTTTAATTGTACAGCACATACAATTCAACTACATTAAAGTATTACATTATTTACTGGATCATAGCACTAATACACAATATGTGTACACGAACCAGCAGCCAAACCAAATGTACACAAACACTCAGCAGCTCCCATGCATACACACATACAAATAACTTATTTATTATAATAATATAGATTCATATAATGTACATGTACATGTACAATGATTTGTATATCAGCAAATACAGTTAATGCATGTGTACATGTTCGTGTACATATCTTTATCCCATCCCTTCTCCCTCTCATTCATCCTCCTCTATCATTACCTGACATGCCCCTAGTATCCTTACTCGTTAGCTCAACTTGAAGGTCTGATAGTTGGAATATCTTTTTGGCGTACTCTTTCTGCTCGGGTAAGGCGACATCAGGTGAGTCTCTTTCATCAGGTTCATCAGGTTCCATCTTAGCTACCTCATCAAAAAACTCAATCCTAAATAAAAAAGACATTATCTTATTGAACTCATATTCCTAAACAGCTAAAGTGTGTACTAGGGGATTGTATTAATAATATACTTTAAACACTGCAGTGTGTGTGTGTGTGAGCGTTCATTACCTGCTTATCTTTATATTGAGTCCATTCCACTTGTCCTTAGATTGGTGACATATACTGACTGTTGTGTCAAGCAACTTAATCTGAACCTTCAGTAACACTACATGTACAGTATATGCAATAAATAAACATAAATAGATAAATATACATGTACATATATATTACAGTGTGGGAGTATACATGAAAAACAAATGAAATTTAAGAGATGTCCATGTACATGTACTGATAATAAGAGAAAATGGGAGAGAGTACTCTTTATTTTTCAAACCTGTTTCAATTGCTTTTGCAAGAGCATCCATACCCTCAAACCCACTCCCTCCTCCAACTTCATCTTTTCTATCATCATCATCCTCTTCCAATGGACTCTTCAAAACTTCCTCAGCAAGCTGCTGACTAAAATGAGAGAGAGAGAGAGAAATGTACTGTTATTCAAATAATTTAACTAAAGCATACCTTGTGCTTGTACTGAAAAACAAAGAGTCGGTCATCGAGGCCACTATAAAATAATAAAAAATTATTCTCCAACTTCCACAAATGACAATTTCTCCTCTCATCCGTTCCTTCACTAACCTTGATTCCCGTGATGAACACTGGATGGTGTTATGGTGATGCATAATCCAGACACCTCCACAGTACAGCTCTCTCTCATGAGAGCAGACCAAGGTATTGATACACAGACCCGCCCGATATAACCAGACACAACACGAACAGGTGCACTTATCTCATCCAATACTTCATTGACCGCCTTTTATTAAAAAACAATGACACAATAGTTAATACAATAGTAATATATGTACATATAATTACATATGGAAAGCTGCATGGATAGTCTGAGTTATTTACAGTACATAGTAAACATGGTCAAAGAATTGCATTTTTACTTTATCCATTACAACAATTAAATGAATACATAAGTTAAGGATGTGTACATGGTATAGGAGAGCTAATCAGAGGTAAGAGGAACAGATAATTATACATGTCAAAATAAACCATGCAGCCTTGCAAGTAAACATTAGCATCAAGTTATGCAGAAAATGAATCGCTCATTAATGAATGACAAAAGAAGGAAATTTGGCAGTACACAACACACACACTAATAACAATACCAAAAAAGAGTTTCATACATGCATACATGTACATGTACATGTAGATACGAAATAGCCACAATGGCAATCAATAACTACTATAATACATTTGTACATCTGAGATACTGTAGATGATTCATAATTAAATAAAAAAGCAATTAAAGTTGCATATGTAATACTAATTAAGACTTTAATTTTATCAATCAGATTATAAAGGCACAATAATAATAATAATAATAATAATAATAATAATAATAATAAAGAAATACATGTACATGTACGCCTACAATTAAGTTAATCTTAGTTAGAAGACCCTCTTGTATGGTTTAAGGTTTAGTAAGATTTTTTGGAGGTGTATATAAGGACCAACCCTCCCCTATAAATCCCTCCTCACCTCCACATTGAGTGGTACGTTACTGAGAGAGCCTGTGCCATTGTACAAGTCAATGCTGAGGTCATTTAGGCTGATCTTCCCGCCTAGATACTGGCCCAAGTAATGATGCAGGAGGTAGCGACAGGCACGTCTCTTTAGAAATTCGGGTATGAAGAAAGGCCAGGGCATAATGAGAAGGAAAAGAGGAAAAACTACACTTTATGGATTATGCAAGACACAGACATTGTGTATGTATGCAAGATAAGCCCGCCCATCAGACACGCCTTTTATTAACCTAGTACACACCTACCTACTCCACCCACGTTTAGATTTCGCGGGGTTTTGCTTCTGCGCATGCGTCTAAAACCAATTTGGCGCGCAGGGGCGACAAAAGGCATCAACTTAACAACTTCAACTTCAAGCATAATTATATTCTTCTACTAGCTCTTCACTCCTCAGTAATAAAATGTGGATACAAGTTCGTAGCATGGATGGACGCAAGTGCGTCCGATTGGACGACCTGAGCAAACTGACCAAGATTGAAGCTCTTCGTGAGAGGCTAGTAGATCATTTTGATGCGGAGGCAGAAAGACAGAGACTGTTTTACAGGGGGAAGCAAGTGAGGGACCATGTGTTTAAAACTAATAAAACATGACCAAAACAAACATTACTTTTCAGTCATCCATACAATGTTTATAAAACCTTTTTTCGGGTGAATCTTTGTCATTGTTTGGGGTAATTAGTGATGTTTTGGGAACTCGGCTTTGTGTCAAAATGGCGGCGGGTCATAAAACAATGATTTCATTGGCTGTGTACAGTATGTACATGCAAAATAGCTGATCTGGGTGCATGTTTGTTATTAATTAAGCCGCATCACCCAAAACCTGGTGGCTAGCTTTGTCATTCTTGTTTCCCTTTCAATAATATAGCACAATCATTAATGTAGAATAATGATAATAATAGTTTACTAAAAGGGGTTTGTTTTGATATTACTTACTCTATAGTGTATAGTTATGGTTTGGGGATTGGTTTTGCCAGATGCACTATTTGATGCTTTGATATAATAAGGTTTATTTGACCCTATGGCTATTATCATGTTGGTTTAAGATATGGTTTTGTTTAAAGAAAGGTGGGGAAGAGGTGTTTCTGCTTTTTTAGTAATAATTGCTTGATGGAAATAGCCATCATATTCACATGGAATTTACTATTGTAAACTGCTTGTCTCTCTTCATCTCTTTATTGGCTTCTGAGGTCAGCAGTACATTTAAGTCTTCACATACTGGCAGTATTATTGCAGACCAGCCAATAGACATTTACGTACAATACATGTAATTATCCATGTACATGTATTAACACTGTATGTGACCACTTCAAATTGTTGATTTTGTATTCATATATATCTTTCTCTTTCTTAATTTCCTTTTCAATATCTCCTCTATAGTTAGTTGATGGTCAGTCGTTATTCGATTATGATGTTGGTCTTAATGACATCATTCAGATATACATATCCCCACCCCAAACTAAGACTGAGACCACACCCACTGACCAGCCGACCAACGGAGCAGACTCCCCCAATGATGATGCTATGGAAACTGTAAGTAGATATGGAGGGAAGTGAGTTTGATTATTTTTTATGAAAAATGCATTTCGTTATATGAAAGTTGACTATTTATGTATTAGTTTTGTGTGTCTTTCTTAAAACTTGGCAATGCATTTTAGACTTTTAGTTCCTATATTTATAGCTAGAAAATTTGTTGTAGTAAAGTTTTGGCAAGTTTCAAATACTCTAGCTATACAGTTATGATTTAAAATGCCCAAACTAAAGATACTGCGTTTGTCTTCTAGCAGGCATAAATGCATTATGTTTTATTTGTAGGACAGTGGTGTGTGTGGCAGTGGGAGTGATCCTGAGGAGAACTGTATCGATGATGATACGACTTTATATAAAGTGAGATATAGGGGGAGAGAGAGGAGAGAAGTGGTCATTTGGAGGAAAAGAGATTAAGGAGAAGGTAGGAGGAATTATCTCTTTTAATTACAGGTTGGTGAGAAAATTGATGCCAAAGATTTGCGCATGGGAGCATGGTTTGAGGGTGTGGTTGTCAAAATAACAAGGACTAATAGAACGTCGTCGTCAAGCGAAGATGCATCTGATGATATACAGTATCATGTCAAATATGATGAGTAAGTAGTCAAGTCAAGCATTTATTATGTTTTTATTTATTGACTTTATTGTGTTGCGATGATATAATTATTTATGCGTTTCCGTGCACAAGAACTTTGCGTTTGCGTTCATTAATGATTGTGTATAAGTAGGAGCACGTATAGCATCTTGTTTAAGTGGTAGTTTGGTTTAACTATTATTTGTTAGTGGTGTTTTAGACCAGCAGCGTATGGACTCCTGGTAGATAAGGTTTAATGTTAATGGTGGTGTTTTAAATTATTTTTTTATAATTTTGTGCATGGTTTTACTTGTAATAACTAGTCAATGAATACTCTTGTGCATCACATGACATAGTGGTAAGATCACAGGGCATTTAAGTTTGGGAAGCATGTTTTCTGAATGTATATCTCTTGACTTCTAAACTTTCAAGTGTATCAATGGAGGAGCAGTTAAGAGAAGTCAAGGTGTCAGTAAATGGTGTTGAGTTACATTGTAACATAAAGGGAAATGGACCAAACCCTCTTTTATGTATCCCTGGATCATCAGCACCAAGTCATTGGGCATTTTCTTCACAATTTGAGTATTTTGGTAGAAGTGGTAGTGAGTATACAGTAATAGCTTTTGATCCAAGAGGATATGGACACTCTAAACTAGTGCCAAGGACCTACTCAATTGCACCAGAACATCATACAAAGATTGATGCAAGAGATGCACACCAAGTAATGAAGTCATTTGGATATGACAAGTACTTTGTTCTTGGTTGGTGTGATGGAGGTCTCTCTGCTATTTATCTTGCTGCCCTCTTTCCTGATGCTGTTAAAGGAGTTGTTTTATGGGGATCCAGAGTGCGTTATACTGAATATGAGGTAGAAATAGCAGAAGGGGATGTTAATGAATTTAAATATTTACCAATAGTTCTTCCAGTGTATGGCAGTCCAAGTGCTCTTCAGACCGTATGGGACGAGGGCAATGATTGCGTGCGTGCTATGTATGAACATTTAAAGGATAAGAATGGTGAACTTTGCACTGAAGAAATGAAGCAAGTGAGCTGTCCAACACTAGTCCTTCATGGTGCTAGGGATAAAGTGGCTACCTTGTCTCAAGCTCAGCTAATCAAAGAGACTATTCCTAATAGTAAACTGATTGTGTTTGATCAAGGAGCTCATTATTTGCACAGCACATTATCAGAAGACTTCAACCTTACTGTTGAGAGTTTCTTAAATGAACACTAATTGCTATTGTTGAACCTTATTGCTAGGTTGTTATAATTCCATAATCTTGTTTTAGAGGTAGTCTTTGTAGTTCACTGTAGTAATACAATGCCAATTTCTAATAATTACAGATTTCATTGAATTATTTCTACTTTCCATGCAAGATGATTTATTTGTAAGGAGTTAATATTAGTTTCATAATTTTAATGATGCTCTTTGTTACTATCAATAGTCATAATTTACATCTATAAAATTAATCTCTAGTCTCTACTCTATTGGTCCTCTTCAATCTGATAAAGTTATTACATTATAACTAGCCTATGAATACTCTTGGGTATCACATGACTAGTGAATGTGATGAGTATTTGCTTGAGCTGCTTTCTTCACCTTACTTTACTCTGAGATCTATTGACTTTTATGTTATTTTGGTTATTACATTGAGTGTATCACAGGCCTCTTAGTGTCCATGATGGAGGAGCAGTTAAGAGAAGTCAAGGTATCAGTCAATGGTGTTGAGTTACATTGTAACATAAAGGGAAATGGACCAAACCCTCTTTTATGTATCCCTGGAGCAACAGCACCAAGTCATTGGGTGTTTTCTTTACAATTGGAGTATTTTGGTAGAAGTGGTAGTGAGTATACAGTAATAGCTTTTGATCCAAGAGGATATGGACGCTCTAAACTAGCACCAAGGACCTACTCAATGACCCCAGAACATCATACAAAGATTGATGCAAGAGATGCACACCAAGTAATGAAGTCATTGGGGTATGAAGAGTACTTTGTTCTTGGTTGGTGTGGTGGAGGTCTCTCTGCTATTTATCTTGCTGCTCTCTTTCCTGATGCTGTTAAAGGACTTGTTGTTTGGGGATCCAGAGTGCGTTATACTGAATATGAAGTTAAAATAACAGAAGCTGGTAGAGATTTAATGACGTGGAATCCAGAGCATAGACAAGCTTTTGAAGATGTGTACGGATGCAGAAGTGCTTATCAGGCTGTTTGGGACCAGCTCATTGATTCTATCCATGCTACATATGAACATTTAAAGGATAAGAATGGTGAACTTTGCACTGAAGAAATGAAGCAAGTGAGCTGTCCAACACTAGTCCTTCATGGTGCTAGGGATAAAATGGCTACCTTATCTCAAGCTCAGCTAATCAATGAGTCTATTCCTAATAGTAAACTGATTGTGTTTGATCAAGGAACTCATTTTATTCACAAAACATCAGAGGACTTTAATCATACTGTTGACAGTTTCTTTAAAAAATTCATCTAATTGCTTGGCACTGTTATTTAATTTGTTATTGATAAAATTGTTTTTGTATCTTACATGGAATTGATTTCATGACTCTGGGTCAAGGGTTAACATAATGTATTATTTGAACTCTCAATTTTGTAACTTTAGGGCCTGAAGTCATCCACACTTTGTTGTATAAACTATAGTACTACTATCAATGTAAATCTGTAAGGTTTTGAAAAATGCTATACCTCTATATCAATAACTGTTAATACCTCTGTATATACCTTTCTAAAATTTCAATTATTTAATAATAAGCCTGGATTCCCCATTTTTAGCACTCTAAAGCTTAGAAATAACTTTCCATTATCAATAGCAATCAAAGATTCTATTTCTAATAGTAAACTGATTGTGTTTGATCAAAGAGCTCATTTTATACATATCAGAACACTTCAATTTTATTGTTGAGAGTTTTCTAAAGGAATGTGTTTAATTACTTGCTATACTTATTGTTCAACTTTATTGTTGGTGTCTTGTAGTACTGTTGGTATAGACCACGTGTAGTAATACAGTATCGATTTCTAATATTGATTTGTAGGTTTGCTTGTACTTGTTCCAGCACTTAACTTTATTTTTGTAATTAGTATTTCAGTATAAGGTTTGATCTTTTGCACAGAAATGATAATTATGTGTTTGTAAGTTCAAATAAATATGAATCCTTTGCTTTTCATTATTGCGTTATACAGCACCTTCGATAGCAATGCAAGTATTCTGGGCCCTAGCTTAATTGCTTTAGAAGCCATAGCTGTTTACTCACTGAATTGAGCTAATGACTTGCAGAATATGTAACTAATGAATTGCTCTGACCTTATAAGCAATGATTAATTGTTTTGTTTTGGTTGGGATTATACATAAAGTGTAGTAGCTCTGTCTGAACAGTTTAGTATAATTCTTTGCCTTTGCTTTGGTTCTATAGTCTTGTTTCATCAGTTTTAACCTAGCTAACTTTCTACCAGCATTCATAATGGAGCAGAAGTTCAGAAAAACTGATGTGTCAGTAAATGGCATCAATTTGCATTGTATTATAAATGGAAGTGGACCAGAACCTATACTCTGTATTTCTGGAGCAGCAACACCAAGTGATTGGGCCTTTCACTCACAATTGGAGTATTTTGGTAGAAGTGGTAGTGAGTATACAGTAATAGCTTTTGATCCAAGAGGATATGGACACTCTAAACTAGCACCAAGGACCTTCTCAATTACACCAGAACATCATACAAAGATTGATGCAAGAGATGCACACCAAGTAATGGAGTCATTGGGGTATGACAAGTACTTTGTTCTTGGTTGGTGTGATGGAGGTATCACTGCTATTTATCTTGCTGCTCTCTTTCCTGATGCTGTTAAAGGAGTTGTTCTATGGGGATCCAGAGTGCATTATACTGAATATGAGGTGGAATTAGCTGAAAGCATTCGAGATGTTAGAAAATTTCAGTATGCACGAGTTTTTGTTCTGGTATATGGCAGTGACGCTGCTCTTCAGGCCATTTGGAACAAATTCACTGATTCTGTGCAAGCTACATATGAACATTTAAAGGATAAGAATGGTGAACTTTGCACAGAAGAAATGAGGCAAGTGAGCTGTCCAACACTAGTCCTTCATGGTGCTAGGGATAAAATGGCTAACTTATCTCAAGCTCAGCTAATCAAAGAGT